TTTCCCGTTAGCCATCAGCTTTATATTTTCAAATATAATGTCATAACCTGAGACTTCCAAATCATGCACTATGTAGCATAACACTCACCAAAGTACAGAAGCACCCACAATATCCACCATCAAACCCATCCTCTACTCACATGAGGTTCTGTAGCTCACACACTACAGACTTGGGATGACTACACCCAGCACAGCCTTACAACTGGGCCTTTGTAACTACCTTTCTGTTAAAGGTCTACCACTACGTTTGCTTCACAAAAGACAGTCAGCTCCATCAACTACTTTACAAATCGATACCCAGAAATACCACACACAACGGACTTCTAGACTAATTGAAGACTTTTAGAGGTCACACACACTAAGGGCTCAGTGTCCTGTCCCTGGCAGGAGCAGTAAAGTGGTGCACGTGTTCTGGGTGCAGGTGTGCAGCTGCTAGCAGGAACGGTCTCTGAAGAAAGGCCTGGGCTGCCCCATATGGGACAGCACCAGCTCCAAGAAACCCACCTTAGGGGACTCATGTTCTCAGTTCTTGCTAAGACATCAAGGACTTATCAACTTCCCAGGTCTTCCTAGTGTGCAGGTGAAGAAGAAGGTGGGAGGGAGCACGGCCAGATCAACACAGCCAAACTGGCCAAAGGAATATTCCGCTCTCATGCTCTCTATATAGATGAGGGCTGCCCAGGAAGTTTTTCTCTCTTCCTGGATTGCAGGTTTGGGATTCTCTCTCCTCTGGTACAGCTAGCCAGAGATGTGCTAGGCTTTGGTCACACTTGTTTGTCTGGTCTACTACTACTATGATTATTACTCTTTTACTGTATTTCAATTATTAAATTGCTTATGTCTCAACCCATGGCTTACCCACCTTTACATTTCCAATTCTATCCCCCACTATGGGGGGATCAGGGGAAAGTAAGTGAGCAGCTGCGTAATATTTCGCAGCTTGTTGGGTTAAAACCACAACGGGTATGTTTGTTTAACTCAAAAGAAACCCTAAGAACAGAAAATACTGTCCTATGGTTCCCAAGCTCCCAACTTGCTCCCTTACTCTACGAAAAGGTTCTTCACTGACAGGGTGGTGGGTCACTGGAACACGCTCCCCAAGGAAATGCTCACAGCACTCAGACTGCCAAGACTTCAAGGAACGCCTGGACGGCACCCTTAGTCATAGGGTCATTTGGTTTTAGGTGCTTCTGCAAGGAGCAGGAAGTTGGACTGGAGGGATCCTATGATCCTACGAAAACAACCACCAAAACTACCACGGAATCTACGAGGGAGCTGCTCAGAGAAACAAAGCTCTACAAAGAAGCAACTCGGATCCAAAAAGAGTTCAACAGTTGCACTTAAGCACAGACACCACTCAGCCCAAGCACACTCCTCTTAGCCACTGGTGCACACCTGACACGGCTTTCTAGCACTCCATGGTCCAAAAATACAACGCAAAGATACAAAGTCTGGCCAAATTCCTTGTCTCAAGCATCTGTGGCAAAAATCACACTGGAAGCAAACCTTCATTTGAACAGCACTGTGCTTGAATGAGAGCTGCTGAAACCAAGCTACACCTTCAACACAGCACTCACTCCCTTTCCTCTTGCTGTTCAACCTGACCTCCCAAGGGAAATGGATTCTCAGCTTTCAGGTAAGCTCATCAGGTCAATAAACAGGACTTTTCTCTGCAAAAGATCAGAGCAGGGGAAGAGACAGAAACATCTTACCTGCACAACAACCCTCTTCTCCTGCACTTCTCAACAGAAGCACAACGTATCTCAAGATAAGAGATGCCATTCAAAACTCTCAGGCACACAGTAGTGCATGAAAAACAGGACAGATCCTGGTGACAAAAAACGACCCCAAAATCCTCGGAGCAGCATAAGGGCACAAACTGAGCACATCCTGAGCCGCGGGTTGGTGAAGCAGACAAGTGGTTAAGCAAAGCACAAAGACACGTTTATCTTAAACTGGTTTTTTTGTGTGGCACGACTCGCTGCAACGTGCGAAGAACACAGACCATTTTCAGCTACTCATAAAACCCCACACGTCTGAACGAGAAAATAAAACAACACATACCATCAGGCTCCCACTTACCCTTTGCTTTTAGATATCAGTCCCAGAGACTGACAGAGCCGGTGAACAAACGCTCGCTCAGTACTAGTGAAAGAAGAAGGAAACTCCATTTCTAGGAAGACAACAGAAAAGCAAACATCAGCACCAAACACGCACCAGGCCGGACGCGGTTATGACCAAACGTGCCCCGCTCTCCCGCAAACAGGACCAGCAGCGCCGGGCTCCCGCACCGCAGGGGTCACTGCCGAGCCGCGCTACC